TAGAGACAGATAAAAGTTAAGATGTTCAAGGCCAGAGAAAAGATGCAAAAATGAAATATGGAATTTACTAATGACGAAACAGAATAAAATACCTTTTGTTTAGGTTGACATGGAGAAACAGTGAAGGCAAGAACATTCAACTACTTGAACAGTTTTTTAAAAAGCAGCATGGAAAAGAACAGAATACTTAAATGTTTATCTGCATTTGGACAGTTTTTTTGAAAATAAAAACTTTGCCTCCTGGACAGCTAATATAGCATATTTCCCAAGCCAGCAGCCCTTTTAGACATCTCACTCACGTCCAAGGTTCTCAGTTTTCAGTGCTGCAAGATGCATGTCAGTCAAGCATCAACCCCCTCTTCCCACAGAACTTGTGGGATTATTTTTTGGACTACAAACACCGGAGAGATAAGTAAGCTGTCATTTGGACCATTATGAAATCTGTCATCAAATGGGACCATATTCTAAAATTAAAACCTTTCTCTTCTCAGTGTAAGAGAGCTTTGTTAAAACCTTCCAGCACATCGGAAAGAATTCTGGGATAACATTTTGAACTTCTATCATGAAAAAGAATTGGAAAACTTGCCATGTGGAAAGGCCATGGACTACTCTCTGAAAACATTCTGCTGCCAAAACCCCCAGAGATTTAAAATCAGGGCTTAAAGCACTCCTAGTTGAAATGTATGATTTGAGAGAGGTTCTTTCTCTAGTTAGAGCTTACACTACAAAAAGAAGAAAGATTAAGCTAATGTTGAAGAGGAAAGCACAATTACATTTTCAAATTGCTTTTCAAAAGAGATGGTAGGAGTCCTGTCCGCTGCCACAGTTGGAGTACCATAGAATAAACACACCACTGCATGTACAAAAGCAAGTAATCTTTCACAGGCAAGGAGCGAGTCTATTCTGTTACAATCACTTCTCTCTCAAGAAATATGTTTTGACTGAGAGCTTTGGCTCTAAATCACTAAATCATGTTTGATTTGTAAAAATGCAGAACGTTCCTTGCAATTTCTTTCAGTCTTACAAAATCTCAGTAAACATACCTACATCCTATTGCATTCCTTCTTTTATTGCAGGACACAAATTTCAGCTTCTGGAAAAGCTACTTGTGCTTTCTATCATGATACTCCAAAGTATTCAGAATTAGTCATTTAATCTCTATCCAGGCTAAAACGGCCTACTAGAGAAATCTCAGCTTAATAAATTATGTATAAGAATTCTCTCTTTTCTGTAGTGTGTGTGATCACTTGAGCTATAACATCATTTTCAGCTGCAGCAGAATGAACTGAGCAAATACACTGTGATACAACTCAGCGTAAGTTAATATTGGTCACAAAGCTCATACACATGGAAAGAAGCAACTGCAAAACCAGAATGCTTACAGGTGCTGCCAAAGGCCTTTCACATTCCTGAAAAAGGAATGTGAAACTTGCACCTCCTCGCAAGCAAAAGACAATGACAAGAAGCTATCATGTAAACCAGTCTGGAGACCCAGCTGGAGGGGAAAACCAGGTCTCCATCCAGCCTGTGATTCCTGATGCCCTCCAAACCTGCAATATTTCTTTCATGTAACATATTCTCCGTAAGGGCGTTTGTCACTTGACTATCCCACACCCCCCTGATTCTCTCTGAAATTCCAAAAATTGAGAGAAACATTAAGTTAACCTGCTTTAATTTCACCACATTGTTATAGCAGGAAGTGCTCTGAGAAACCCTCTATCAGCTTCCTTTCAGCTGCAAAGCCCTTGAGTCCAACATACAGACACCTGCAGCCACAGACTGCAGTTCCAGTTTCTTAAGATGGTGGAAAGAGAAATGCAGCAGATGATTCTCCCCCTACTCCCATATTAAGATGAAAATTTCAATGACTGGCAGCAGAAAGAGTTAATTAAAGGTCTCCTTTCTCTTTCCCTTTCGGAAAAAGTTTTCCAAATTTGAGCTCCAGTTAAAAGGTAACTACATAGCTAATAATTTCAGGAGGGATTTTAGTCACTTGAGGAAACTGATCAGTTTTAGAAAAGAGGATATTTCACTGGTGTTTGTGAAGAAAGTGAGTGAAAGAAAACTTTTCGCAGCACAGACAGGGACAGTAATGACATGCCAGGGACAGAGCACTGGATACTTTTCCCTTGGCCACAAAGTCTTTAAACAGGCAGTACCATTTCATAATTGCATCCATGTCCTTGGAAGGGTAAAAAGGGGATACTGGACAAAAGTTTCCTGCCCTCCCAGCTCAACTCAAACCATATTCAAGATGAGCAGGAAGAACACCACAAGGAATAGAGGGAAGTTGTTTTTTACTTCACCTAAATCCAGCTCAAGGATTAGATAAGGTCAAGACCAGTTGACCATTTTTAGTATCTTTCAACACACCTGCATGTCTGCTTATTTCTGTCACAGACATTAGCACATGGATCCAGAACCCAGTAAGTGAGGGGAACATCTGTAAGGCCACCACTGTTCACTGGCACCGAAAGGCCTGGGACAGTGAGTCCCATCTCCACCAGGGATCACTACAGGAGACTCAGCAGCCAAGGAATATCCAAACACGGATCAATGTTAAAGCTCACTTAACCTGAGTGAAAATCAGCTACAAAACACCTTGCACTAAGTAGTGAGACTTAGTACCACAGCCAAGAGAAAGCATATGCACCCTGGAGATGGGGACACCTCAGAGGAATAACCCAATCTAAAAACATATCCATGAGATCCTTCTGGGGGGAAAAAAAATCCCCAAAGCTGCTTTTCCTATATTTGGAATCTGTATGAATATATTTGGCATGAATATACAGTATCTACACTTCAACTGGTTGAACACTTTTGGAGCTAGAGATGAAACTGTTTATTGAAATGAAAAGTAGAATTCTGGTATTTATACTCCAATGAGTATGCAATACATCACAAATGTAACTCACAGAAGGTACCATTTCATCTGAATTCTACAAAATTCCATTTGCAGAAATAGACCAGGAGAAGTGTTAGAAGCGACAGGCTGGGGAGCTACTTCTATAAAAAAAAATCACAGACAGTTAAACCAGAATAAATTCTAACTCTAAAAAGTTGCCCTTTAATGTGCATTACCTCAAATCTCTGAAATATTGTACCTTCCATGCGTTTCCAAAAGCATATACTATTCACATTATTTAACATTTGCATTCTGATTGCAATCAGCCTACTTTCAATAAAATAAATAATGTTACAGCTTGTTAACCTAGAACCATCAAACTCCCTCTCCCATTATCAATCAACGCCACTTTTCTGCTGACTGCAACTCAATTAAAATCCAATTATTTGAATAACTGGATGGAAATTGCTATCATAAGATGTACCTTTTTATTAGGAACATTTTGTGTAGAAAATTGACAGCACAGGAATTATGGCACTGTGGTTAAAAGATGTTTTGTAACCTGGGCTGGGAAAGGATATGCCGATAAAGGTGGAGGAACAGAGTGTCACTTCTAGAGTAGGTATTTGATTCTAAAATTGGGACTTTAGGCTCAGAGCAGATCCAAATTTATTAGATTCTGCTAGCATTGCTATGAGCTTTAAAAAAGTTGGTCTTTCTATGCCTCAAAACTTATTTTTACCTATGTTAAAATAAAAAAAAAAAAAAAATTGTTATATATTCCTAGAACATCTTACCACATTACCCACGGAATTAATTACAAAATATGCCAGTCAGTGATACTGATTCTTTAGGTAATCTCAATGTCAAATTTTTTTCATTTTTTTTTTATTTCTTACATTAACTAACACCAGGCAAGTAGCTGTGTACCTTCTCCTTGTCCTGCAAGAACTCAGTGTCATTTGAAAAAAAATGTCCTATGAGGAAACCCTCAAGTATAAGTTGCTTCTTAGTTTTTAATTACATCAGTTTTCCACTAGAGCTGTATTCATTTGACCAAAGCGTGGACAACAAATTCTTCTTCATCCAACACTAAAAAGCTGAATTCTTTGTTATTGCGCTTAGATGGAAAATAGCATCATACTATTTTAATTTCAGTACGCCAACTCCATAAACAAAACATAAAACATTTTGAAAAATGTCTAGTTGCAAAGTCTAATTTTACAAAACAGATTTAAAAGAATTAAACATTTCTATTTTTTCAGGTGTAACTATCTAGGACTTACTGGCACCTGGAAGTTAGGAACAAAAATATCTCCTATCTAACGTATTTCTTTAGCTGATCTCAGGTATCCTTATATCATAATATTTTAAAGCAAGTACAGGCTCTCCAATGTATTTCTTTTCAGTGTAATAGTATTGTCTTCTACCTTGCATCATAAAATCATATCATCTGAATTATACCTACTACAGTTTTAATAAATTTCTGCAGAGGTTGTTCACCGAAGATTACACAGAGGATTTAAAAGGAGCTATTAGATTACGATGACTTGCATTTGACAAAATGACTTGTACTGGCACACAGCAAGGAATGAAATGAGCCAAAAAAATCAAGGATAAGAAAAAAGAAACATTATAGATAAGCACAGTAATTCCAAAATGTGATTGATTCTAAAAGAAGCAACTCTTGATAGAATGTCATGTTCATATTACTTTTCCATTGTGATTACTCTTCTTGACTTTTGCTCCACATATTAGATTTTATATCTCTCCTGTCATTTTCTATGTGATTTCAGGCAGCACCCCTAATATATTTTTAACTGCTTTACAAACTAAAGTTGCATTAACTGGTGAACATTGTTTATCACAAGTCCATGACAGTTTGCAAAATGCTGGAATCTGTCTCTTGCCTTGAAATGTACAACTTTCACATACACACTGTCTACCTCTCTACAAAGCTAGCACAGGAATAAATGCTTATGGCCTTCTGGCTCTACACACCAGCAGTGCCTCTTAGGCAAGCTCTGAAAAATCATCTTCTAAAGAGAGTCTACAAAAAATGCCAGAATTCAAGTAATTCAGTTCTTTTTTCATGCAGACAGTCCTTAAAACTGAGATCATTTGTAAGATATATGTTGAAATCAAAGCTACTTACCCTTTTTCTCAAGTTGTAGGTCAAAATGAGATTTCTAGAGAAGGAGTGGGAAAAGGCTGTGTAGAACTCCAGCACTTTCTGCAAAGCATCTCTCTTAATCACATGAAGATCACAGTAAGTCAAAGCCCTTACATTAGCACAGGACTGGGCGAGGGTAGACTCCTTCCAGAACACATCACCAAAAACGTCTCCTTTGCCTAAACAAAAATAACAGCATTTCTTTCAATAACAGCACTATTTCCACCAAAAACGTAAACCAACATACATCCCATTTATACAGTCAAGCTTCTTCTGTTCCATGTGGTCAGAAAATAATTCTGCCTGGAAAAAAAAACAACTTTGAAATATTTCGCTAATAACTTTTTCTGCTATCTTTTTTGTTAATTACAATCACCTAGCAAAATTTAATAAGAATAACTCATAATCAAAAAGTTTTTCATGTGACAAGTCCCCTTAAAATATCAATAAATATCAATTCTTTAAAAATCAAGAAAAATGATTCATTCTTGGTTCATGTTTTCTTCTTATGCCTTTCAAAGAGATTAATTAGGATGAAATGCTTTTTCCCTATCTTCTTTTAACTTTCATGTGAAGGATTTGATTCTTGTATCTATGTTGTTGAGTTTGCTTAGTCTGGCTAAAAATTAGCCACTGTTATGTCAATAAAACCATCTTGTATAAGATGTCAGTATGGTTATAGACAGCAATGAAATTGAGTCCAAAACAAGAAGAGTACAGGTTAGTTATCACCATCATAACAATGGCCAGACATGAATGTTTAGCTGTTACACACTGGAAGAAAGAAAACAGCCATTTCCTTACAACCTTTCCACGAGCATATCATTGTGAGCTTGGGGCAGCCAGTGAAATCCCTGCTGTAGAATATTGCAATGAGGGCATTTGGGCCAGCCTGGGCCCTACAGCGCAGGGCAACTTTACCAAAACCCAGCTGAGGAACAGCTCCCAGTGAGGATTTTGCTGGTTATAACCCAGCTCAGGCTGGGCACAAAAGGGAGTGTGTAGGAGAAAGTTATGAGCCCATTTACAAGAGTAATGGTCTTTTTGTTTTTGTTTTTTTTTTTCCTTATTTTCCAACATACACTGCTAACAGAATAAGAATATTATACTGTTCTTGTTTTGAAATGTATTTTCCTCTTAAACTTCTGCTGTGTTATATCACCACTGCACATTTCTCTTAAATACCAACAACAAGGAAATACATTCACAATACCTATCAAGTTGAGGTAGGAATGGACCAGATGGTACCTTGTCTTATAGGTAATACTTTGCCCATAGCAATTCTTAAAGCCAAAGCATCAAAATAAATATTAGTTTATTGACTTCAACCAGGCCCTTTTGGGTTTCATTCCTTAAATAAATAGTCATGTATAAAAGGCTATATGAAAGTCAAGACAACTATCATGAGTATAGAGCTCAAGAAATCTTGTAAATTAAACCCAGAATTCCCATCTTAGCCCTAGAGCTGTACTTCCACCCTTACCTAATCTTTCCATTAGATGATAAGCATTTTCTTTTTGAGGAGAAGCTATCAGCTTGATGGTAAGCTACACTGTAGTGCAATAAGTTGTTGTTCACACTGAAGTGCTCCCAGTCTTCCACAGAATTCCTATGCAGCCCACCCGCCATGGACCAGCTTAGTCCCTGATCACTTTGGAGGAGCATACACTCTTTTAATTTTAAATGTGTACATACACTGAAACTACTCTTTCCATTAGCGCATTTTTTCCTCAAAAAATAGGCAAAGACACCATAATGATAACTCTTCTTCCACCTCAAGTCTGCTTACATGGGACAACACCAACATCTGGAGACACTACAAAGGCTGCACATCAATAAGCATGGTGGCACTCCAATAGCCCAGTACAATAAATGAATTTTCATTTTAATAGCAATGACTTTTCACAGTCAATTATTTAAATTTTCAATTATTTAAATGTATGCTTTTTAAATAGGTACATTAAAAATGGCTCAAGAAAAATGCTTCCATGCACTTAAAGTAGATTCTCATCTGAAAAGCTTTTAGACAGACAAATACACAATATATTCCAAACTGAAGTGAAACAATTTTTATGCACCATAAAAACTGATATGCTTCACTGGGTAAAAATGGATTGTTTGCCTTTGGAATAAATATGCTTTTACTCACAATCTTCCAAGCAATTAGCCAAACAACTGTTTTAATTAACGCTCTGGAATCTATCAAGCATTGAAATGTGCCATCACTGATGAGCAATAGTTAGAGCTGGGAGTCCAAGCACAAGGGAGAGGAATTCTAGCTTTGTTCTAAGCATATTTCTTACCATTTCCAGACAAGTTTCCCTATCTTAAAATGAAAATAATAATTTTTAATGTCCCACAGTAACATGAAGAATAATTAGTACAATGCAAGCACAAACAGCATGGTGCTGCTACGCCTACCTCAGAAGTTAGCTGTCTTACTCTTTTTAAAATTTAATTCTGCTTTTCACATAACACACAAAGACACAACTGTGTTGTTCACCTGTGGCAGCAATGACACTTTCTCTTTGCTATTTGTAACTCCTCCCTCCCAAAAAACTCTCCCTCCTGCAGTTCCTGCCACCCCGGGGAGCCACTTCCCATTAGTAGCAAGAACAGCACAGGAAGGAGCTACGTCTGCTGGGTGCCTACTGAGCCAAACCAGAGAAAAGCAACACATGAACCACAAACTGAGTCAGATCACAGAAGCCTCTGTTTGAAAGAAACAAACAAACAAAAAATCTCAAAAAGTTGTACTTGATTTCGTTAAAATATTTCCTTGAAGTTAACAATCAGTGATTTAGTTGAAAACCAATCCTACATTATATTTTGGCTTCCAAAACAAGGCACTTATACAAACACCACACTGCTTTGATTCTGTCAAGTGCATTCCCTAAATGATGCATATAAAAAGTATCAAATTTGATTGTCAGATTCTAAAAAGAACCATCTTTGATATTCATAGAAAAATGGGGCGCGAGGGGGGTGAGGGGGGAAGGAGCAGTAGAAAGTCTTTATAGCAAGAAGGAATTAAAATTCCACCCAGGAGTACCTGCACTGGATTAGAACAATTGGCCTCTTATACATAATAAGGAACTGCATACCATCTCCCTTTGTCTATATGTTCTCCACATAGTAAGATCAATCACTCAGGAAAAAGGAACAAAAAAAAAATGTGGGGCAGATTAAGTGGGTGTTTTATCAAAACCATCTGTAATTAGAAAGCAAGAGGGGCAAGGTGATACTTCCAAGTGTGTCAGAAGGAGGTTGGCAAAGTCTAATGGCTGCATTAGGGAACCTGAGCCCAAAGCCTCTTTTTACGTATAACTCCAGGCTTTATATATTTCACCTTACCTCTGAAGAAAGATTAAAAAGCTAGAGAAATGCAGATGGCATTTGTTTGTCAGTACTTTGCATTTCTCATTCCCAGCATGCTGAATTCCAGACATTTGCCAAGAACATTATCTGTCAATCACACTTGAAGTGGATGATCTAAGCTTTTACCATCAATCATTTATATTCCCTGCTGAATTTGTGGGCTGAGGACCTTTTCCACCATCAGCTCAGCATGTACTTGAAATCCAAATAGTTTTCTGCCTTTTATATTTGCTTGTTTGTTTTAATTATAATAACAAGTCCCAAAACAAAATTCTTAAATAGTGAAGACTTATTTTATAAAACTTTCTGTTTTCACGTTTTTTCTTTCCCAATTTCTTTTCACATCAGTATTGCTATTTATGAAGTGAAAAGATGATTTCTCTGGTACCACTGTAAATTCAGCCTGAGTCAGGCATAAGGTCAAGCCACATTCACTCTGTCTCCTGAAAGCAGCATCAGTAATGAAGATGTGATTATTGCTGCTTAGTCAGGTGTTTTGCTGATTTTCGAGAAAAGAACTACATTCTCATATTACAGCTATACTGTCTTGATGCCACAAACCTTGGTTTTTTCACTCCTACAAAGTGGAAGTATTGAAGAGCTCTCAGACAGAAGATATCCACTCCAAAAAAATCTGATTCATGTGTGGAATATGTGCTTGATTGATAACCTACTCAGTCCACTCTTGGGTCCTGGATGTCTGGAAGTTGTGGTGCAGTTTTGGTGTGATAGCAGCTGGGTGAGAAGATGAGGCCATAGATTCATATGCTGAAGGCCTATGGATGGATTTTGAAGGAGTTCATACAAATCCACAGGTTTTCAGTACATGGGGCAAAATATTCATGTTAGAATCATCCCTGAATCAATAGTAATGGTTGTTACAGCAGCCAACATCAGAATCTAGGTCGGGTACCTTCCTGATCTGCCTTCATCTGCATGTTTAAATGATAAAATGGGGATCTGACATAGTCTCAGCAGATCCAAAGATAAGCTAAAATGACCAAACACTGTTTGATGGTACCTCAGTGGCAATGCAGCACTAAGCATATCTTGGAAATCAGGTGTTAGCAAATACTTTTATCTGTTATGCTGCTCCACAGTGGCTGCCACAATGACTTTCCCAGCACAGCTCCCTGGAGCACCCACGCTGGCCTGCACTCTCAGGATTTGTTTGCCACCTCCAAGCAGTGGGAGACACCAACTGCTGTAAAGGCAAACACAGATTCTCTCTGCATAGGTCTCTTTCTAGTGACTGCTCAGTTAAAATGCTGCTGAAATTTAAAAACAAACAAAAAACTGGCCTGATTTTTTCCTTCCTTCCTCCCTTCCCTCCCTCCCTCCCCGGAGGAAGAAGTTAGTCCCTGTCACAGGCTCCTACCAATTCTATTCAAGCATAATTCCACTAAGGACAGTGTATTTACCCCTGGTGTTCAAAGCCAGTGACGTGAGACTTGGGTCAAATTCCCTCTGTGATCACCACATGTTTATTTGGCTTAAAGTGAAAATCCTTCCCTCTACTCTCTTCCCTCATCACCTCCTAATCTAAGTAAGGCATGCAATTTAAATTTTACCATTTTACAAAGCAAAGAAGGGTTCAAGGAAATGAGAGTCATTAGAGCAAAAAGAATTTTTCCTCTTGGTGCATTGTTTTAAGGCAACGAATATCTGTCAGGCAAAAAAACCAGAGCTACCATTTGGCACTGAGGTAGAGTATTCAGTATCTGTCCTACAGATAAATTGCACAACTTGACAGCCACTGAATAGCCTGTAGTTTGGTCCTCCAACACAGTACAGCTGGCAG